TACTCAGCATGCCAAAGTGCCATACTTTGGGGAATCGTTTTCTGAGCCCCAACAGGGTCATCTATACAACTCCTTCATTTTAAAGAGAAGGGAACAGAGATACAATTGATTTAAGTGGTTTGCTCCACATCCTAGAAATAGTTCATAAAACTGGAAGTAAAACCTAAGTCATCTGAACCACAATCTATAATTCTTTCCTGAGCCTTTGGTGTAAAGTGGCTTAACTGTTAGTAGGATAGTGAAACAGATAGGAAGGTGCCATCAAGCATCAGTCATGTGATTAGCATAAGTGACCCATTAGCTCTTTTTCAGTCTGGATAGTATGTGTTTCTATAAAATATTCTGCCAAGGGATTATGAAATACTTAGCAACCCCATAGTTTTCCCTGAAACATAATAAAGGCATGGAATATTCCTAGTATTTAAACCCACAGTCCTAAATACTCTATCTTCATGGGAAGAAGCTGCCTAAGGAGACTGTAATATAATACTGCCATCTAGCATCAAAAATTTTAAATTACATTAAAATGTTACATGCTTACTACTGGAGGGAAAAGCATCTTCCTGTAATATGCAATAGTGAATTCCCACAGAAGAGTAACAAATGTAGACAGAAGATAAATATTTATATATAATGTTTGATAACATATTCACAACTTGAAAAAATGCCAAAATAATCATAGAAACACATGCTAAAATGAAATTGGGAAGTGTATGTCTCAATTTTGTTCTTTTTCAAAATTGCATTGGAGTGTTCTGGGTTCCTCCAATTGTCATACAAATATTGGAATCATCAATTTATTTTTGTTGTTGTTGAGACACGGTCTCTGTCACCCAGACTGGAGTGCAGTGGCGCCATCTCTGCTCACTGCACCCTTGACCTCCAGGGTTCAAGCGACTGTCCCACCTCAGTCCTCCAAGTAGCTGGGACAACAGGTGTGCACCACCACTCCTGGCTAATTTTTGTATTTTTAGTAGAGGTGGGGTTTCACCATGTTGCCCAGGCTGGTCTCTAACTCCTAAGCTCGAGCGATCTGCCTGCGGTGGCCTCCCAAAGTGCTAAGATTGCAGGCGTCAGCCACCCTGCCAGGCCCCCGTCTTACTGGTTTCTGCAAAAAATAAAAAGCCAGCTTGTATTTTGATATGAATTACATTGAATCTGTAGGTAATTTGGGAAATGTTGCTATCTTAATAATACTAAGTCTTCTGATCTATGAACATGGATGTCTTTCTTTAATATTTAGATCTTTAATTTCTTTCAATAATGTCATATGGTTTTCAGAGTAAAGGTTTTTCACTTTCATTCGATTTATTCCTAAGTATTCTGTTCTTTTTGATGGTAACATCAATGGAGTTATTTTCTAGTTCATTTTTGGATTCTTAATTGTTCTTGTATAGAAATACATTTGATTTTTATATATTGTTCTTGTACCTTGCTGAACTCATTTATTCTATTTTTTTAGTGAATTCCTTGGAATATTGTATATACAATATAAAATCATCTACAAATAGTTTTACTTCTTCCTTCCAACGTGAATGCCTTTTATTTCTTTTTCTTGCCTAATTTCCATGGCTAGAACCTCTGGTATAATGTTGGATAGAAATGGCAAGAGTGGACATTCTGGCTGGGCCCAGTGGCTTGTGCCTGTAATCCCAGCACTTTAGGAGGATAAGGCAGGTGAATCAGGTCTCGAACTCCTGAGATCAGGAGTTTGAGACCAGCCTGGTCAACATGGTGAAACCCTGTCTCCACTAAAAATACAAAAAATTAGCTGGGTGTGGTGGCAGGTACCTGTAATCCCAGCTCCTCAGGAGGCTGAGGCAGGAGAATCACTTGAACCCAGGAAGTGGAGGTTGCAGTGAGGTCACACCATTGCACTCCAGCCTGGACAAGAGCGAGACTCTGTCTCAAAAAAAAAAAAAAAAAAAAATGAACATCCTTGTCTTGTCTTGATCCTAGGAAAAAAACATTTAATTTTTCACTATTAAGTATGATATCAGCTATAGGTTTTTCTTGTTTGTTTTTGAGACAGGGCCTTGCTCTGTTACTCAGGCTGGAGTTCAGTGGCGTAAACACACTCCCTGCAATCTCTGCCTCCCAGGATCAAGTAGATCCTCCTACCTCAGCCTCCAGAGTAGTTGGGACTACAGGCATGTGCCACTACACTCAGCTTATTTTTAAATTTCTTTTGCAGAGACAAGGTCTCACTTTATTTCCCAGGCTGGTCTTGAACTCCTGAGCTCAAGTGATACTCTCACCATGGCCTCCCAGAGTGTTGGGATTGTAGGCATGAGCCACCGCACCCTGCCAGCTATTGTTTTTTCATAGATGCTCTTCATCAGGTTGAGGAAGTTCTCTTCTGTTCTTAGTTGGTTGAATGGATTGGTTTTTGTCAAATGGTGTTTCTTTTTTCTTTTCTTTTTTTTGGGGGGACTGAGTCTTGCTCTGTTGGCCAGGCTGGAGTGCAGTGGCACCATCTCAGCTCACTGCAACCTCTGCCTCCTGAATTCAAGCAATTCCCCTACCTTGGCCTTCCAAGTAGCTGGGACTGCAGGCTCCCACCACCATGCCTGGCTAACTTTTTTTGTATTTTTAGTAGAGACAGAGTTTTGCCATCTTAGCCATGCTGGTCTTTAACTCCTAACCTCAGGTGATCCGCCCTCCTCAGCCTCCCAAAGTCTGTGATTATAGCCATGAGCCACCACACCTGGCCAAATGGTGTTTCTTTGTCTATTGAGATGATCATGTGGTTTTAGTTCTTTGTTCTATTGGAATGGTGTAGGTGGTAAGCTGCAGCAGGAAGGAATGTAAGGAATGTGGTGGTCTCTAGAAGCTAGAAAAGTCAAGGAAGTAGATTCTCCTGTAGAGCCTCAAAAAAAAAAGAGATCAGACTTGCCTCTAAAAAGTAATGCAGACCTGCCCACACCTGATTTTAGCCCAACGAGACCCACTTTTGAATTCTTACCCTCAAAAGTGTACAGTAACAATTTTTTGCTTTAAGCCACTAAGTTTGTGGTAATTGTTACAGCAGCAATAGAACATTAATAAAGTATATCATACTAATTGATTTTCAGACGCTAAACTAACCTTGCATTCCTATGATAAATCTGTTGGTCACAGTATGTAATCCTTTCTTCTAGTGGCTGGATTTGGTGTGCTGGTGTTTTGTCAAGCATTTTTTAGTCTATATTAATAAAAGATCCTGGTCTGCAGTTTGATTTTTATGTGATATCTTTGTCTGGCTTTGATATCAGGGTAACACTGATGTCACAGAAAGAATTGGAAAGTGTTCCCCCTTCTTCTATAGCCACTCCAGCTTTGTCATGGTTACCATTTAAATGCTACGTCTTTGTCTACTCTTTTACTTTCAACATAGTTTGAACCTATCTTTTATTTAGATTTCCTCTGCAATAACCAATAATATTTTTATGACCATGAATAAAACTGCATTTATCTTACTAGCTGCTTTTTAAAAAAATTGAATTATAAACCTTTGTTTTCCCAATGATGACTTCTCATTTCTAGGCACTCTCTGGTTCTTTTGCTGGCAATAAACCTTGGTATTTTTACTTAATTTTGCTTAACTTAGAATAAAATTTGGTCACCATATATGTTGAGTCAACTTTTTTTCCCCCCTACTAGTCTGTGAAATCTGTAAGTCTAGGAACCACCAAATTATAGGATTTCCAAGACTGGGTTAGAGATATGTTGTACATAAAACAAAACATAGGTTGTATCTCTGGAAACAAGTTTGTTAAACTTATGAATAAACTAACAAACTTTTGTCAGTATTTTTGCTTTAATTCAGATTTTATAAAGACATTCTAAGACTGAGATGGAAACCATATCAAAATCACAACTGTATATTGTGAAAACTGAAATCCATCTATATGCCCAATAATATAGCTTGGTTAAATTACAGTATATTTATATAATGGTTATCTATTTAAAATCATGCTTTGTAATAGTATTATACAAACATGGAAAGATGTTCAATTACAGGTCAACTTGTCACGTTCTGGTGACTGCTACCCCCTCTAACACTGGGTGTGTTGCAGCTTCCCAAAGTGGTTTAACATTCCTACTGGCTTTCTTTAATCCTGCTCACTTTTTTGGTAAATATTCCCTTCATGAGCTAGGCGCAGTGGCTCACGCCTGTAATCCTAGCACTTTGGGAGGCTGAGGTGGGTGGATCATCTGAGGTCAGGAGTTCAAGACCAGCCTGGCCATCATGGTGAAACCCCATCTTAAATAAAAAATAAAAAATAAAAAATAATTTTTAAAAAATTCCCTTCATTAAATCCTGTTCAGCCACCTCACTTCAGTGAATCATCCATTTCTGGCTAAGACTCTGAAAAAGGTTATTAACCATTAAGACAGGTTAATGGTGAAATTACACCATTACTGGTTGGTGAAATTATGATGAAATTACAGAGAAAACAACAAATACCTGTTTTGTTTTGTTTTTTTAAACAAGTATTACCATGATAGGTGCACTATACCTAATAATAGTGAGGGCTACCATTAACTAATTATTAGTGAGTTAGTTGTATACTGTGCTTTATAAATCACTTCCTTTTATCCTTTAAATAATTGTGTAATAGTTAACATCGGACTGGGCGCAGTGGCTCAAGCCTGTAATCCCAGCACTTTGGGAGGCCGAGGCAGGTGGATCACGAGGTCAAGAGATCGAGACCATCCTGGTCAACATGGTGAAACCCCGTCTCTACTAAAAATACAAAAAATTAGCTGGGCATGGTGGCGCGTGCCTGTAATTCCAGCTACTCAGGAGGCTGAGGCAGGAGAATTGCCTGAACCCAGGAGGCGGAGGTTGTGGTGAGCCGAGATCGTGCCATTGCACTCCAGCCTGGGTAACAAGAGCAAAACTCCATCTCAAAAAAAAAAAAAAATAGTTAACATCACCTCCAGTTAGACATGAGGAAACATTAAACATTTTTTATTACTGTGAATTAATATAGTTTCATTGTTTTCTTTTACAGATCACTCACGAGAAGTGTTGGAACAATTAGTAGGCCCAAACAAACTAAAGCAGGTGACATGGACTGTTTATTGATGCTTTTTTGAAGATGATCAACACTAGGAAAGCTTATCAAAACCACTTTCCCAGGAAACCATCTACAGAGATTTGCATTCTACTTAATTTAACACTAATTTTAATTATTTCATTGTCCTTAAGTTATAACTCTCAGAGAATTAGTTAAGTCTTTGTATATACATGGTTTGTGCTTAATTCTTAAATATCTTAATAGTGCTATTATTCATTATCTGTTGGATGAATCATAACTTTTGAAACCATAATCCTAGCATGAACTCTGATCTATTTTAGGGGGAGGGAGGGTGTTGGATTTTGTTTCTTAAATAACGAAGTTTAAAATTAACAGTTTTCCCTTGAGATTTCCTTCTCCTACATAGGTATTTGAGCTATTGTTTTAAGATAAATTTATCTGTATGTATAAACCTTGGGAGAATCTAAAAGTATTTCTAAAAGCATAGTTTACCTTCCTGTTTTCTGGCTCTTACCTTTCTGGAGTATTTAAATGTCCATTTGCCAAAAGCAAACCTGAATATCAGGCCTGTTAATTCTTCAAGAAGAATTTAGGGGCTGGGCACGGTGGCTCACACCTGTAATCCCAGCACTTTGGGAGGCCGAGGCGGGTGGATCACGAGGTTAAGAGATCGAGACCATCCTGGTCAACATGGTGAAACCCCGTCTCTACTAAAAATCCAAAAAATTAGCTGGGCATGGTGGCAAGTGCCTGTAATCCCAGCTACTCAGGAGGCTGAGGCAGGAGAATTGCCTGAACCCAGGAGGCGGAGGTTGCAGTGAGCCGAGATCGCTCCATTGCACTCCAGCCTGGGTAACAAGAGCGAAACTCTGTCTCAAAAAAAAAAAAGAAGAAGAATAATTTAGGTATTTGTTTTGCCGAAATGAAGTAACTTATTAGCCATTCAGCATATTAGTATTGCAGAGACTTTTGCCCAGCCACTTATTTCATTGATTTTTACGGCTACTCTTCCCAATTACATTTTATTCATCTGTAAGCTTTTCTTCCCGAGCAAAATTGCATTCAAAAATGTGTAAAAATGAGTAAATACAGAATATCACTGCAGAGATTTGTATCCTCAGGTTGTGCTGATTTCACGTTGTGAAATAAACAGCAAAGGTCTTAGTTTTCAAGTGAAAACTCTTTGGTAATCACAAAATTACCTGACACATACTATGTTCAAACTAATCTCCAAGTTTAGCATATTCATTTTGCCACGAGCCTGTCTTGTTGGGATTTTCTTAAAAGATTTCTTATTTTGCCTCTGATGTAGTGAAAAACAGGGAAAGTATGCTAACTTTCTTGTGTATGTTTGGGGGGTACTTATTCAACTCCATTTCTTATCCTTACTATTACTTTATAAATGTGATATGTGTATAGTGTGGATATATATGTTGCCACTGCAAAGGTGGTACATATGTATATATGTGCAAAATGGGTAAGGCCTGTTCTATCTATGAAACTTTTCTAAAGACAAATTCAATAAAATTTAATACTGAATATTTAACGAAGTCAATTACATTTTCCCCTTTTTGTAGAAACTAGTTTTGACATCTAAGTTGTGAGCTTCTTCGGATCTATGAAGGATTTATCTTCCTAAAACGGTTTTTAGTTTGATCTTCTTCCTTTTTTATATTGCTAGTTGTATTAGTTATTTCTCACCACTCTGTTTAAAATATCTATACCCCATTCAGTACCCAGTATTCCCTATCACCCTTACCTCTTTTTCTCCTTGCTACCTATCACCATCTGATGCCTGCTTTGTTCCTTATGTCTTCCCACTCAAGAATATAAATTTCGTAAGGACAAAATATTTATCTTGTTTTTTCATTGCTATATCCCCATATCTCCAGTGTCTAGAACAGTGCCTGGTAGATTATAAACACTCAACTATTCACTGAATAGGTAAATACAGAAAAATAAAGGAGGAAAGAAAGAAACACCCAGTATTACCCAGCCTGGCCAATGTAACAAGACTCCATCTCTAAAAAACATAGAAAATAAAAAAACTAGCCAGGCATCATGGTGGTACATTCCTGCAGTGAGCCATGGTCACATCACTGAACTCCAGTCTGGATGAGACAGCAAGACCCTGTCTAAAAACAAAAACAAAAAAACCAACAGCAACCAAAACAAAAACATTTCCAGTCTCTAGTCTGATATATATTTTCTAATATAAAGAAATTGGAGCCGGGCATGGTGGCTCATGTCCCAGCACTTTGGGAGGCTGAGGTGGGTGGATCACCTGATGTCAGGAGTTCAAGACCAACCTGGCCAACATGGTGAAACCCCATCTGTACTAAAAATACAAAAAATTAGCTGGGGGTGGTGACACATGCCTGTAATCCCAGCTACTCAGGAAGCCGAGGCAGGAGAATCACTTGAACCCGGGAGGCAGAGGTTGCAGTGAGCCAAGGTCACACCATTGCACTTCAGCCTGAGTGACAGTGTGAGCCCCTCATCTCAAACAAAATAAAAAAGAAATTGGAAGTTTTCACTCCCATCCTCACAATAAGAAAAAAGCTGAATAAACTGAAAAATCAGCAACACTTAGAACCATTAGAGAATTAAGGTTAAAGAGAAAATGCCTCACAAATTAGAAAGGCAAATACAAAGAACCACAGCTTACAGGGAGCAGAAGCCTGTTGCTGGAGCCAGTACCAGTAGGAACATTGATGCTGTAATTCCTGAGTTGCTGGAGGCTCCATGTGGATGGACTTAAGAATCAAAAGCTCCAGCCCCACGCAGTAGCTCATGCCTGTAATCCCAGCACTTTGGGAGACTCAGGCAGGTGGATCACCTGAGGTCAGTAGTTCGAAACCAGCCTGGCCAACATGGCAAAACCCTGTCTTTACTAAAAATGCAAAAATTAACTGGGCATGGTGGCAGGTGCCTGTAATCCCAGTTACCTGGGAGGCTGAGGCAGGAGAACCACTTGAACCCCGGAGGCAAAGTTTGCAGTGAGCCAAGATCATGCCATTGCACTCCAGCCTGGATAACAAAGTGAAACTTCATCTCAAAAAAAAAAAAAAAAAAAAAAAGAATCAAAAGCTCCGGGAGTCTGTCCATAAATGTTATCTAACCATGTGTGGCAACTCTGCAGTTACTCTGAACCTATTCTGCTTTTGGGAGCTGCCCAATTCACAGATTTTTCTTTGCTCAATTAAACTTTGTTAAATTAAAACAAACAAACTCCAGGGGGCCCACTTGTAGGGCAGACACCACACTTTTATAGTTTTACCTCCAGAATACCTACCAGGTTCTCAGGTGAGGATCAGAGAAAAAGCCCCTCTTACTTCTGGTATGAGGATGGGGAAAGTAACCATTTTGCAATATGCCCAAGTGTTCAATTCTCCTTAACAAAAGCCAGCTCTCAAGGGAAATTATTTTACCAGAGCCCAGCTGACCTATAGGAAAGGAAGTACCCAACTCCTGCTTCCTCTAGCCTTTCTGTCTCACCAAATGGACCAAAACAAAAACAAAAACAAAAACAAAAAGCTAAAAGCACTTATAAAGGTCATAGCAGGGGCAAAGGCTGACTTAACTGAGACTTAATCACACGACTATAGAACATACCTTCTCCCATACCTTATTTTATCAATTAGGCTACTGTATAATAACAGGGAATTACAGGTGAAAAAACTACAAGCCTCAGACTCTACATAAGAAGGAATCTCTAGGGAAACTCAAAGATAACAGGGGAGATAATAGCAAGGACACTATAGCAAGGAAAATTTAGCCTGTAACACCTACACTACAAACAGTAGCCCTACCCAGATTTTAAAACCTAACATTACCTTAGGTTGGCTGTTAATTTTATCCAATACATCATGTCCAGCTATCACCAAAAATTACAAGGCATGCTAAAAGACAAAATGTCTGAAAAGACAAAACAAGGCCGGGCACAGTGGCTCATGCCTGTAATCCTAGCACTTTGGGAGGCCGAGGTGGGTGGATCACCTGAGGTCAGGAGTTCAAGACCAGCCTGGCCATCATGGTGTAACCCCATCTTTAAAAAAAAAAAAAAGAAAAGAAAAGACAAAACAAGCATCAGAACCAGACTCAGATATGGCAGAGATTTTAGAATTATCAGATCACAAATGTAAAATAAATGATTAACATGCAAAAGGCTCTAATGGGAAAAGCATACAACATGTAAGAATGATGAGTGATGTAAGCAGAGATAGAAGCTATAAGAAAAAATCAAAAGGAAGTGATAGAAATAAAAAAACACTGTCAGGCCAGGCGTGGTAGTGCACACCTATAATCCTAGCACTTTGGAAGGCCAAGGTGGGTGGATCACCTGAGGTCAGGAGTTCCAGAACAGCCTGGCCAACATGGTGAAACTCTGTCTCTCTCTCTCTCTCTTTTTTTTTTTTTTTTTTTTGAGACGATCTAACTCTGTTGCCCAGGCTGGAGTACAGTGGTGTGATCTTGGCTCACTGCAACCTCTACCTCCTGAAAACCCTGTCTCTACTAAAAATACAAAAATTAGCCAGGCATGGTGGCACGTGCCTATAATCCCAGCTACTCCGGAGGCTGAGACAGGACAAATGCTTGAACCTGGGAAGCGGAGACTGCAGTGAGCTGAGATGGCACCATTGCATTCTAGCCTAGGCGACAGAGTGAGACTCCGTCTCAAAAAAAAAAAAAAGAAAAAAGCCCAGAGTTCGAGGCTGCAGTGCCCAGTGATTAAGCCTCTGAATAGCCACTGCATTCTAGCCTGGGAGCAAAGTAAGAGTCCATCTCTAAAAAAAGAAAAATACATATATAGTATTCTTTTATGTTTTGTTTCGTTTAATTCAAAGTTACATCACAGCTGCTCTCAACTATAGAAACAGATTTGGCTACAATGTCTAATTCCTGTCCATTACTTAAATGCTGCCACCAATGAGTATGGCACTGTATAATCATATTCCTTCAGCAGTTAAAATTAAAAAAATTACAGATAGAGATGTGTATAATTGGCATGCACAGAAATGCAGAACCGGTTACATGACAAAAGTAGACTAAACTCTAAACCTTCATATTTAGAAACAAGATTTGCCATTTAACAAGAATTACATTCATTAAACTGGAGAGTATCTCCTATAGAGAAAACTTTTAGGGTCAAATCCATACATTACTATATTCGTACTTGGGAGCACTTAGACAACTCAAGGCTGAAAATCCCACACTGTGCTTGTTGTCAGTCCATTGTTTTCCTGCCTTGTAGGCTCCGGAAGTGAATATTCTACCACTTTGTGCAGGTGGTGCTGAATGCTGTGTTCACTAAATTGGGGCCGCCCAGGGTCACCAATCAGTATTTGAGTTCCATAGGTCCAGAAGCAATTCTTCAGCCACTGATGAAGACTATCTGCAAGGTTTTCATCATAAAACATATCGCCAAGAACAATAAGGTCCCACTTATCTTGTTCCAAATTCAAAATGTTTTGGATTAAAATAGGAAAAGGATTCAGTTGGTTCAATTCACAATTTAGTGTAATAGCCATTCCTGCAACTTAAAAATAAAAGCAAAAAATGTGCTGTTATAATTCCCTGATTAAATAATTTAGAAAATTTGCTAACAATATATTTTTCTCCCTTTTTGTTGAAAGTTTTTTTTTTTTCTTTTTCTTTTTTTTTTAAATTGAGGCGGAGTTTCGCTCTCGTTACCCAGGCTGGAGTGCAATGGCGCGATCTCGGCTCACTGCAACCTCCACCTCCTGGGTTCAGGCAATTCTCCTGCCTCAGCCTCCTGAGTAGCTAGGATTACAGGCATGCACCACCATGCCCAGCTAATTTTTTGTATTTTTAGTAGAGACGGGGTTTCACCATGTTGACCAGGATGGTCTCGATCTCTTAACCTTGTGATCCACCCACCTCGGCCTCCCAAAGTGCTGGGATTACAAGCGTGAGCCACCGTGCCCGGCCGAAAGTTGTTTTTTAAAGTAAAGAAGTGTAAAGTTTATGCCAACATAAGCTGTACCACAATTTCCAAATATATGACTGGATATCCTGAAAACAAAACAATCTAAACCATTTAGAAATGCTGGGATTTTAGGAACATTTGCTGATCTCATTCACCAAGAGATTTTGGTTTTTCACTGTGGACAGGGAAACAAGCCTTGGGCTTGATTGAGCCTGGCAATAAATTAGAACTGAGACCCCTCTACAAAATAAAGGTTTCCAAGGGCTATATCCTCAGTGAAAGGGTAGACCAGAAGAAAATCAGATCAAATAAAAACTTACCTGTCTCAACCTGGATTCTAATGGAATAAAAGTCACCCTTGAAGACAGGCCAATACTCATGTGGGTTTGGGGTTAAATAAACACTATTTCCCCCCCGCCCTTTTTCTGAGACAGAATCTTGCTGTGTCACCCAGGTTAGAGTGCAGTGGTGCGATATTGGCTCACTGCAACTTCTGCCTCCCGGATTCAAGTGATTCTCCTGCCTCAGCCTCCCGAGTAGCTGGGATTACAGGTAGGCGCCACCACGCTCAGGTAATTTTTGTATTTTTCAAAGAGATGGGGGTTTCACTATGTTGGTCAGGCTGGTCTCGAACTCCTGACCTCCTGATCTGCCCACCTCAGCCTCCGAAAGCACTGGGATTACAGGTGTGAGCCACCGTGCCCAGCCAAATAAACACCATTTACGTATTTCAGGAAATTCCTAGCCAATACGTTAAAGTAAGTGCTCCCTCCAGGATGTCTAGCAGACATAAATCCTCTTGGGTAAAATGCACCAACAACTCAGACCTGAGAGGATTCCTACAGATAATGTCCCAGTGCATACAGATTCACAAGATCCGATCACAAAATACATGTAGCGATAAGCTACCACATTAAGCAGGTGTACACATTTATCCTGGAGGGGAAAAAAAAAGATGAGCCTTAAATATTTTAAAATATGAATCCTTACGAGGGTCTATGTCATTGGCCAAGATCCTTGATGCCCCACTCATCTTCGCAGCAATAGCTGTAGCTCCACATCCACTCCCAAGATCTAATACAGACTTTCCTCTGACAACATCAGGATTATCCAAAAGATACCTAAATTAAAAAGAAAGGAGAAACATGTCTCACAGAGATGAGAAAAGGTAAGAGGTATCTAAAAAAGGAAAGGAAAGGAAAAGAAGGAAAAGGAAGCCGGGCGCGGTGGCTCAAGCCTGTAATCCCAGCACTTTGGGAGGCCGAGGCGGGCGGATCACGAGGTCGAGAGATCGAGACCATCCTGGTCAACATGGTGAAACCCCGTCTCTACTAAAAGTGCAAAAAATTAGCTGGGCATGGTGGCACGTGCCTGTAATCCCAGCTACTCAGGAGGCTGAGGCAGGAGAATTGCCTGAGCCCGGGAGGCGGAGGTTGCGGTGAGCCAAGATCGCGCCATTGCACTCCAGCCTGGGTAACAAGGGCGAAACTCCGTCTCAAAAAAAAAAAAAAAAAAAAAAGAAGGAAAAGGAAAGAAAACAGATGTCTTTAGGTTGACTTGACAAAAGCAATAGTGGAACTTAGCAGAACTTGGTCCAACCTTGGCAAGTTTGGTCTGACTAGAGTGACACAAAAAGTCCATCTCCAGAGCTGGGCAGAGGTGGCAGAAGAACCTAGTCATTTGGTCTTTCTCTTCAGCAGGTGTGAAGCATAGTACCACACAACCGACTAATCATGCTATTCAAGTCCATTTAAAAAAAAAGTTGTAGGCTGGGCACGGTGGCTTGCAGCTGTAATCCCAGAACTTCAGGAGGCCAAGGCAGGTGGATCACTTGAGGCCAGGAATTTGAGGCCAGCCTGGCCAACATGGCAAAACCCCATCTCTACTAAAAATACAAAAATTAGCCAGGCATGGTGGCATCCACCTGTAGTCCTGTTACTCAGGACGCTGAGGAAGGAGAATCACTCGAACCCAGGAGGCGGAGGTTGCAGTGAGCCGATATCATGCCACTGTGCTCCAGCCTGGGTGACAGAGCAATACTCCATCTCAAATTTTTTTTTTTAAATAAAAAATACAAAAATTAGCGGGGCATGGTGGAGGGTGCCTATAGCCCCAGCTATTCAGGAGGCTGAGGCAGGAGAGTTGCTTGAACCCAGGAGGTGGCATGAGCTGAGATCACGCCATTGCACTCCAGCCTGGGTGACAAGAGCAAAAACTCCGTCTCTAAATAAATAAATAAATAGTTACTACCTGTCTTCAGCTCACGGTTGCCACGCAGAATCCCTGCTTAGCAGGTATCCCTGTTTTTCAAAGCTAGTCGATTTTTACATGAAATCTCTCCAGTTTTAAATATCAGCAACTAATTTTTTTGAAGTTTACAAGTACAGGCCAAACAAAACACACTTATGGGTCACCAATTTATGACATCTAACTCAGTCTCTTAAAGAAGTTGACTTTATTTCAAGTTGATAAAGAGTCACTTTAATAGACAGACATCAAGATGTCTGCATCCTAAAAATAGGATGTAACTCGGCCGGGCGCGGTGGCTCAAGCCTGTAATCCCAGCACTTTGGGAGGCAGAGGCGGGTGGATCACGAGGTCGAGAGATCGAGACCATCCTGGTCAACATGGTGAAACCCCGTCTCTACTAAAAATACAAAAAACTAGCTGGGCATGGTGGCGCGTGCCTGTAATCCCAGCTACTTAGGAGGCTGAGGCAGGAGAATTGCCTGAGCCCAGGAGGCGGAGGTTGCGGTGAGCCGAGATCGCGCCACTGCACTCCAGCCTGGGTAACAAGAGCGAAACTCCGTCTCAAAAAAAAAAAAAAAAAAAAAAAGGATGTAAGTAAATAAAGCTTGAACATCTAGTAACATAACAATCAGAAAATTGGCATTATTTTGTACCAACTGGAAAGCTTTCCAGTTCTTGGAATTTCCCCCAAAAAGCTTTATGTTTGCATTTATATACTTAATTTAAAACTACATATAAAAATAAATAAACTACATATAACACTAATTATGTAGGCTATACCATTCCTGTGAAACAGACGTCCTTATCACATTTTTCGTTTCACAGCTTTATAACCCCAGGGCATAAACAGATGAAATCATTTACCAATCCTACAACAAAGACCAGATCAAAATGCTAAAAGGTCTTGCCTTTATTTCATCAACTGTGTTTCAATAAAAAGTATAGTGTGGCTATGCCAGAAAATGCCCTAAGACCTCTGCAATATGGAGAGTTAGAAGGCAGAGAGCGGGGCTTAAAATACAGATTCAAGTCCAAAGTTGGCCCAAGTTTTCCATAAGCCTTTAGAGAAGAGGGATCTTTTTTTCTTTTTTCTTTTCTTTATTTTTTTTGAGATGGAGTTTTGCTGTTGTTGCCCATGCTGGAGTGCAATGGCGTGACCTTGGCTCACCACAACCCCTGCCTCCCGAGTTCAAGTGATTCTCCTGCCTCATCCTCCAGTACCTGGGATTACAGGCACGCGCCACCATGCCAGGCTAATTATTGTATTTTTAGTAGAGACAGGGTTTCCCATGTTGGTCAGGCTGGTCTTGAACTCCCAACCTCAGGTGATCCACCCACCTTGACCTCCCAAAGTGCTGGGATTACAGGCGTGAGCCACCGCACTCAGCCTCTTCTTTTAAAAATGGTGACAGGGTCTTGCTCTATTGCCCAGGTTGGAGTGTAATGGTGCAATCACATCTCACTAGATGAGCTAGAAATCTTAGGCTCATGTGATCCTCACACCTCAGCCTCCTGAGCTGCTGATTACAGGCACAGGGCACACCTGGCTAATTAAAGAAAAAGGTTTCTTGCAGAGATAGGGGTATCACCATGTTGCCTAGGCTGGTCTTGAACTCTTGACTTCAAGCTGCCCTCCTGCACTGGCTTCCTAAAGCACTGGGATTGCAGACACTGCGCCCAATAGAAGAGGGACTCTTTGAGCAGCACACTCACTCACAGCTACTATTTTATGGAAAAAGAAACAACTCTGGAAGGAATGTGAGGTTGATGGAGCGACATTCACTGAATTAAAGGAGAGCTGAAGGACGAGGTGTTTAGGTTCCGCCTAGGAACTCTGCAATAGTCATGCACTATGAACCAGGAACCTCATAACAGGTGAGATTTCTGGATCACTTATAGCTATCCAGGCTCTTGACAGCTGACTCTAGGATTTCTCTTGGGGAGATAGCTACTTGGGAAAATATCTTGATAGGCTTGGGTTACAAGGGGAAATTATGCAACAAAGCAACCAAAAATTATGGCTAAATTGCTATACATAAGAAAACAAGGCCAGGCCCAGTGGCTCATGCCTGTAATACCAGCAATTGGGGTTGCCTGAGGAGGCCCGGAGTTTACGACCAGCCTGGGCAACACAGCAAGATCCCATCTCTGCAACAAAAAAAAAAAAAAAAAAGAAAGAAAGAAAAAAGAAAAGAAGAAGACTTTTTGGTTTCTCTTTTGTTTTGTTTTTGAGATAGGCCAGGCAGGAGCACAGTGGCAGGATCAGAGCTTACTACAGCCTCAACCTCCTGGGCTCAAGCAATCCTCCAGTCTTAGCCTCCCAAAGTACTGAGACTACAGACATGAGCCACCATGCCCAGTGTTGCTCTGGTTTTTTTGTAGGGGCTGGAGTTAGAGGGGGCTGAAAAGGGAAAAGATCTGTAGCAGCCTTAAAGGTTCCCATTTCGATAGGGTAGTACCTAGACAGGGCTTGGCCTCCTGGCCAGTAGATTGCCCAGTAAGGATCACTGTGGGGCCACAGGTCAGCTCTCTCCCACCAGAATTTGCATCTGGGGGTCAAAAGCCGCAACTGGATTTCAGGGGTGAGGCTGCCACTGCTGGTGACTTCAGTGTTCTCCTCCAGGAAAGCCTTTTTGTCAGGGTCCAAAAAGCTTCTAGCTCCTCTCCAGGGACACAGGCCAGAGGGAAACAAGAGAAGACCACTGCTTCGCACAGCCTGCAGGAGGAGCCCACAGTGGCTCCTGGGTGCCTTCCAACCTAGACTCAGAGCCATCAGTCCTTTGCCCAAATGATGTTCCGTCAATGTTCTGTTGATAATGGCGGCTCCTCATGGAGAATGAACAAAGGTCTGTCTCCCACCCTGATCTCAAGTGGAATCTCTTACTCTCTGTAAAAAAAAAACAACAAAAAACCTGAAAATTCTGAGGAAGAGCAACATTTCTAGAACCTATTATATATTAAGAAAATATTACAGTATAAGCTTTGTATCTGAGGATTCACATGTGCAAGTTCATTTCAGATGAAAGCTTTGGTGCATCAATTTGGGAAAATCCAATCTTTTTTTTTTTTTTGAGACAGAGTATCGTTCTTGTTGCCCAGGCTGGAGTGCAATGGCATGATCTTGGTTCCCTGCAACCTCCACCTCTGAAGCTCAAGGAATTCTCCTGCTTCAGCCTCCCCAGTAGCTGCAATTACAGGTGACTGCCAACATGCCGGCTAATTTTGTATTTTTAGTAGAGACAGGGTTTCTCCATGTTGGTCAGGCTGGTCTCAAACTCCCAACCTCAGGTGATCTGCCTGCTTCAGCTTCCCAAAGTGCTGGGATTACAGGTGTGAGCCACCCTCGCCCGGCTGAAAATCCAATCTTTTTAAATGATACCTTTTCACAAGAGAATCCTTTTAGTAATTTAACATAACAAATATACAAGCATTTGATTTTGAAAGAATCCTCAAGAAAATGCCTCTTCCCTGAAATCAAGCATACAGTCATCCCTCAGTATCCTCAAGGGATTGGTTCCAGTATCCCTTGCTTCCAGGATACCACAATCAGAGGATACTCAGTTGGTTATATAAAATGGCATCATATTTGTATACAAACTAGGCATATGCTGTGGTATACTGTACTTTGAATCATTTCTGGATTACTCATAATACTACAATGTAAATGCTATGTAAATCGTTATTACACTGTATTTTTGGTTTGTTGTTGTTGTTGTATTGTTTTTTGTTTTTGTTTTTGTTTTTGTTTTTTTTGGAGACGGCATTTTGCTCTTGTTACCCTGGCAGGATCTCGGCTCACCGCAACCTCCATCTCCTGGGTTCAGGCAATTCTCCTGCAAGCAGGAGGAGTATCTCCTTAGTAGCTGGGATTACAGGCACGCACCACCATGCCCAGCTAATTTTTTGTATTTTTAGTAGAGACGGGGTTTCACCATGTTGACCAGGATGGTCTCTATCTCTTGACCTTGTGATCTACCCGCCTCAGCCTCCCAAAGTGCTGGGATTACAGGCGTGAGCCACCTCGCCCAGCGTATTGTTATTTTATATTGCTATGTTGTTATTGTTTATATTGTGGGCCAATGGTACCTTTAAATTTCTTTCATAAATTTAACATAGTAGGCATGCTTGGTAACTGTGTACAAAATAACAGAAGTCTTATGTCTTCAAGAAACTTACATTGTAGTGGTGGGAAAAAGTAGTTAATCTGGCAGACACAGTTTTTGCCTTTATGAAGTCAAGCCAAGAGTTCTGGGGGGTAACGAACTATAATTGTCTACTGTCTATGGGCAGAGATACATTAATATAAATTATATAGACTACTCTATTTCATTAAAGATTGTCATATCATAAAAGATCAATTCCTAATATCTTTTTGTAAAAGTATCTGATAGTTTGCTTTTACCAAGCCTAAACTGAAAAGATTTGCTCCAATAGAAAAACACCCATGCAGGCCGGGCGCGGTGGCTCAAGCCTGTAATCCCAGCACTTTGGGAGGCCGAGGCGGGTGGATCACGAGGTCGAGAGATCGAGACCATCCTGGTCAACATGGTGAAACCCCGTCTCTACTAAAAATACAAAAAATTAGCTGGGCATGGTGGCAAGTGCCTGTAATCCCAGCTACTCAGGAGGCTGAGGCAGGAGAATTGCCTGAGCCCAGGAGGTGGAGGTTGCGGTGAGCCGAGATCGCGCCATTGCACTCCAGCCTGGGTAACAAGAGCGAAACTCTGTCTCAAAAAAAAAAAAAAAAGAAAAGAAAAACACCCACGCAATAGATCACTAAGACTTGTTTAAAAAAAAAAAAAAATATATATATATATATATATATATATATATATATACACACACACACACACATACATACAGAAAAACACCCAGATAAGAATAAAGGACTGGCCGGGCGCGGTGGCTCAAGCCTGTAATCCCAGCACTTTGGGAGGCCGAGGCGGGTGGATCGCGAGGTCAAGAGATCGAGACCATCCTGGTCAACATGGTGAAACCCCGTCTCTACTAAAAATACTAAAAATTAGCTGGGCGTGGTGGCGCGGGCCTATAATCCCAGCTACTCAGGAGGCTGAGGCAGGAGAATTGCCTGAGCCCAGGAGGTGGAGGTTGCGGTGAGCCGAGATCGCGCCATTGCACTCCAGCCTGGGTAACAAGAGCGAAACTCCGTCTCAAAAAAAAAAAAAAAAAAAAAAAGAGACGGAGTTTCGCTCTTGTTGCCCAGGCTGGAGTGCAATGGCGCCATCTCGGCTCACCGCAACCTCTGCCTCCTGGGCTCAGGCAATTCTCCTGCCTCAGCCTCCTGAGTAGCTGGGATTACAGGCTTGAGCCACCACGCCCGGCCTGAAACTCCGTCTCAAAAAAAAAAAAAAAAAAAAAAAAAAGAATAAATGACAATGAGGAACAGCAACTTAAACACAACTTATACACCCAGTTGTTTGGGGACCTCGGATCTCTTCTGTATACACGTTTTAAATAGTCTTAAATCCACTTAAGTATTTAGAACAGGGTCAAAAATCCAAATGCCTACAAGGGGCTGGACATCATAAGTAAGTAACGTAGGCTGTAAAATAACAGAGGGGCTGTGGCAAGCTGGAGACTTTTCAAACAGTTCAAAAGGGCTGGGCAGGAACATGCTGCTGGATCCTCCAATTTCTCAAAATCATCAAAAAATGTAGATATTGACATGTTGGCTTCCTTTTTTCTTTTTTTTTTTTTGAGACAGAGCCTCTGTCACCCAGGTTGGAGTGCAGTGGCCCGATCTCAGCTCACTACCTCCCTGGTTCAAGCGATTCTCCTACCTCCACCTCCCGAGTAGTGGGATTACAGTCACGTGCCACCACGCCCAGCTAATTTTTGTGTTTTTAGTAGAGACAAAGTTTCGTCATGTTGGCCAGACTGGTCTGGAACTCCTGACCTCAAGCGATTCGCCCGCCTAGGCCTCCCAAAGTGCTGGGATTACAGGCGCGAGCCACCACACCTGGCCAGCTTCCGCTTTTAAAGATCAGCAACTCATTCAAGGATCAAAATACGGCAGGCCAAAAAGTAGTCAGGTCATAGCTTGTGAACTCAGCGGAGACTTTCGAGGGGGTGGGTTAGTTACCCCACATCAATGTCCTGGGAGCGCAGGGGTGTCTCTGGGCCTGGTATCCCATTAGACTAATTCTGCTAAGCAGTACCAGGCTGTCCCTTGAATCACACAACAGAGCAAATATGAAATTATTTTGGATTTGGACCCCATGTCACTTAGGCCGGCGCTTCCCTGTCCCGCTCCAGCACCAATGAGGCATGGGTTATGAAGTATGTGACTATGGTGGCCACTTGGTATTTCTGTGAATGAGAAGGAGCGGGATGAAAAGGTTTACGTTCCAGAAAGCGCAGGCGACGGCGTCATTACCCTCCAGCGGCGCGGCGGAGTCGGTCTTAAAGGGGCAGGCACCGTCCTGCCTGTCTCCTTACCTAGCTTTGCTGACACCGGCCTCGGAAGTAAAGAACAGGGCTCGCCTGTCACTCGCCCTGGCGACTCTGCCCGCGCATTCTTTACACTTTCAGGGTCCCGCTCCCAAAAACGAACCGGGCGCTAGCAGAGGGCGGTAGCCCGGACGGGGGCGGAGCGGACGGCGGCCCCTCGTGGCCCCGCCCTCTTTCCCAGAAGCGCTTTCTTTCTCCTCCTTAAAGGGGCAGAAGCACGAAACCGAAGGGCGCCCCGACCTCGCCTGGAAAAAAAGGGAACGTTAAATCCGTGTGCACTGTTCGTCGAATTTTGATTTCTAAAAACCTCATTCTGAAACTATGTATGTATGCAACACCTACTATGTGCCAGTCGCACTTCCAGGCACCGGGCATAGAGTGGTGAACAAAGTAGACACAGTATATTAAAAAAGAAAAAAAGTATAAGCCCTTTGTGCTGCCTACATTCAACTGCGATTAAATCATAATGAATGTCCTTTCTTTTCTACTAATTTTTATAAATGCACTATCTATTTATTTGCAACCTAAATCACTCGAGTCTGGATCTACATATATCCACCTTTCAACAGGACTCAGATCCCACTGTCCCCTCAACTCAACTCTCAGAGTTAACTCACCCATCTCACCTGACAACAATTAAAACCTGCTCTGGAGTGCTAGATGGGGAAAAGTGGTCCAAAACTAAAAAGCAGGAAAACCGTGTTTCTGCATCTTGGTCTGCAGTTTGAGAAATGCACTGGCACCTGCCTTTTCAAGATCAGAATTTGTTGCTTGGGAGTTCTGCTCCTGCGATGGGTGTAACAACTTTCTGTCTTTCCATGTAAACTGGAATCTTGAGAAACTACTACAAGAAAAGGAAACTTCGTTATTCCAGTCAAACAGCCCCAGATGCCGACCTATCATTTCCTTCTTAGTTGAGTGGCGTATTTGCTATATTATTGTTGATAAGCTACACGCCTTTCATTTCACAATATTCTGCTTTAGATTTCCTACGTAACTCATATATAATGTGTTTATGACACATTCATCCACTTATGAGCTGCTTTTTTCTTAGTTGTTGATGTAAACTCTTGTTTTCTCAGCTATACTGTAATAACTTTTCGTTATCACACACTCTCCGATTCTCCAGGTGGCCGTGAACCTTGATGCATGTTCAAGATCAATTTGTCTAAGAAATACTGTTTTTAACCAGCTTCTGTGTTCTAACCAGAGAGAACCCTCTTTTGTAAAGAGGGTTTCTAGCCGGGCGCGGTGGCTCAAGCCTGTAATCCCAGCACTTTGGGAGGCCGAGGCGGGTGGATCACGAGGTCGAGAGATCGAGACCATCCTGGTCAACATGGTGAAACCCCGTCTCTACTAAAAGTGCAAAAAATTAGCTGGGCATGGTGGCACGTGCCTGTAATCCCAGCTACTCAGGAGGCTGAGGCAGGAGAATTGCCTGAGCCCAGGAGGCGGAGGTTGCGGTGAGCCGAGATCGCGCCATTGCACTCCAGCCTGGGTAACAAGGGCGAAACTCCGTCTCAAAAAAAAAAAAAAAAAAAAAAAGAAAAAAAAAAAAAAAAAGAGGGTTTCTAGTAAAAAGCTTGAGCCGGGCGCGGTGGCTCAAGCCTGTTATCCCAGCACTTTGGGAGGCCGAGGCGGGTGGATCACGAGGTCGAGAGATCGAGACCATCCTGGTCAACATGGTGAAACCCCGTCTCTACTAAAAATACAAAAAACTAGCTGGGTGTGGTGGCGCGTGCCTGTAATCCCAGCTACTCAGGAGGCTGAGGCAGGAGAATTGCCTGAGCCCAGGAGGCGGAGGTTGCGGTGAGCCGAGATCGCGCCATTGCACTCCAGCCGGGGAAAAAAGAGCGAAACTCCGTCTCAAAAAAAAAAAAAAAAAAAAAAAAAAGCTTGGTAGTTAGTCATCACTGAGGATGCATTTGATAATGTTTGGATAACTCCTTATTCAAAACTTGCAACTTGGCTGAAGGGACTGCAGCATGCCTTTCCTGTTCCATAATCTTTTTTAAACTGGTCCAGTTCTTTCCATCCCTCCTGCCATTGCCTTAGTTTGGCATTATAATAGCTTGCCTGGATTTCTATAACTGGTCTATTCTGCCTTCCTTAATAAGACTATTCTTTATATTGCAGCTTAAATGATTTCTTTTTCTTTTTTTCTTTTCTTTTTTTTTTTTTTTTTTTTTTTTTTTTTTTTTTTTTTTTTTTTTTGAGACAGAGTCTCACTTTGTTGCCCAGGCTGGAATTCAGTGGCATGATCTCAGCTCACGGCATCCTCCGCCTCCTGGATTCAAGCAATTCTCCTGCCTCAGTCTCCCAGATAGCTGGGACTACAGGCGCCTGCCACACCTGGCTAAATTTTTTTTTTTATTTTCAGTACAGATGGGGTTTCACTGTGCTGGCCAGGCTGGTCTTGAACTCCTGACCTCGTGATCCACCCTCCTCAGCCTCCCAAAGTGCTGGGATTAGAGGCATGAGCCACTGCGCCCAACCAATGATTTTTTCTTGAAACTTAAATTCCATAGTCTGGAAAAGGCCTACCCTTCCTATAGTCTCAGATGTACCATGAAAAACAGGGACATATGGATTTTCTTTTCTGTTGTTTGGTGTTGATGTGTTGTAACTTTTTTAATACAAAGGACCATCTAGATTTTAACAAAATTGACCCACACACATCCAAGCAGCCTTGGTAAGTGATAACAATTTGAGCTGTTGTCTATTCTTTTGATTTTTTACTTCAAAATACCTGCCCTATATTTTTGTTTAAAAAGCCAGTTCTCTAATAATTAGTCCCTCTTGCAGGTGAAAATATTCCCGGTTGGGTGGTGGCTCACGCCTGTAATTTCAGCACTTTGGTTGGCCGAGGCGGGCAGATCATGAAGTCAGGAGTTTGAGACCAGCCTGGCCAACACAGTGAAACCCCGTCTCTACTAAAAATACAAAAATTAGCTGGATGTGGTGGCAGGTGCCAGTAATCCCAGCTACTCAGGAGGCTGAGGCACAAGAATCGCTTGAACCCAAGAGGCAGAGGTTGCAGTGAGCCAAGATAGTGCCACTGCACTCCAGCCTGGGCAACAGAGCTAGACTCCATCTCAAAAAAAAAAAAAAAAAAAAAAAAGTATATTCCCTACCCAACTTTGTCTTTAAGGGTTTTTTGGTTTTTGACAAGTTATTCAATTATACTTATTAGCTATATAATCTTGGACACATTACTAAACCTTCCTAATAATCAGTTGCTTCATTACTATAAACTAGTGATGATAATAATAATGTTTTGGGAAGATTTAATAAAAGAAAAGCACATGGTATTTAGCAGAGTTTCTGGCATATAGTAAATGCTTGCTAAGTGTGCTTTTACAGTGATGATCATTATTGGAAACACAGAGATGGTGTTGATGAGCAGCAGATGAGGCTTTCAGTTAAAGGTGAGAGGATCAGACTTGAATTTTAGAAAAATGTTTTATGCTGCAGGTAGCAAAGAGTTGCAGGCGTCCGCAAACTTTTTACACAGGGGGCCAGTTCACTGTCCCTCAGACCGTTGGAGGGCTGCCACATACTGTGCTCCTCTCACTGACCACCAATGAAAGAGGTGCCCCTTCCTGAAGTGCTGCAGGGGGCCGGATAAATGGCCTCAGGGGGCCACATGCGGCCCAACGGGCCGGGCGGTAGTTTGGGGACTCCTGGTTTAGAGGGAGGCAAAACCGAAGACAAGGAAACTGCCATTGGAGGATATTAAGGTAATCTAAGCAAACAATAATGGAGGGAGAACTAAGGTAACTGCAGCAGGGGCGGAAAGAATAGGAACATCTGAAAATGATTAAGGATGAGCTCTTAGCATGACTTGGAAACTAATTAAATAAACTTGTTTAACCATAATGATAGCCAACCTAAGGGCAAGATAGTTTCTCTTGCTCAACTCAACTGGCCTGTGCTGTTAATCACCAGGCTATCTGAATGTGTTCTCCTTTGCTTAAAACCTGATCTAGCTCCCCAGACCTTCAGCGGTAGAGCCGGATTCCTGATCACAGCTTTCCAGGCCCTTGCTGATCAGTCCCAACTTAACCTATCTTACCTCTTTTCCTCCTACAGCACCTTGCTATCTCATCCCTAGGCCTTATTGAAGACGGAAAGCTGCCACTGCCTCCCACCCACAACCGCTCCTCACTGTCCAAAGCACCTCCTCATCCTTCAAAACTTAGCTCAAGGTGAAGGTCCTCTGAAGTCTTCCCCAACACACCAGCGTACACACCAATCTTCCTATATTCTTAGCTTCCTATGGGCATGTTCAACAAGAATATCAAGGAGAACTGGCACTGCTTAGACTTGAAAGCAGACCATCTCATTCCTCTTTCATCCTCTGGCACGACAGTTAGACACTCAATAAACTCTGTTAAATGAAAGAAAAAGCAAATAAATGAATAAAATAACAAACGTTACATATCAGTATGTCATTTTGAAAATTTAATTTTAACGGCTTTATTGAGGTATATTTGACAGTTTCACACTGGCAATTTTGCATGTTTACATAATGGAATCTAATGTCCTGACATATGTGTTGTCAATGCAAATGAGAGACTGAGGCAAGAGTCTCAATCAATCCAGATCTACTGAGCCAGAGCTTGAAGGTGTGCCCAGGAGATCCCTAGTCACAGAAACATGAGTCTATGGCCTGTGCTCCTTGGGAGAG